GGAATGGAGGTTTTGCTTGATCCCTATGTAGTTGGTAGAGGTGGGTGGAGTGGGGGTCAGGTCGTTGGACGGGTTGGAAATGCCTTTGTAGAATGTGAATCCAATATCATAGAATCATAGATCACAGAATCCATTCAGTGTGCATAAAAAGGCCATTTGGCCCATCAAGTCCATAACGACCCTCTGAACAGCATCACACCCAGACCCCTACTCTATCCCCATAGCCTCAGATTAACCACGGCTATTCATTGAGCCCACACATCACTGGATGCTACAAGGCCATGTTTACCATGGCCAATCCACCTAACCTGCACATCTTTGGGCTGTGGGAGGAAACCCACGCAGATACGGAGAGAACATACTAACTCCACACAGACAGTCGACCAAGGATGGAATCGCACCCAGGTCCCAGGTGCTGTGAGGCAGCAGTGTTAACCACTGTGCCACCCACCTCATGATGGATTTCCAATTGAGTGTCGCCCCAAAGTCATAAGATGTGAGGCCAGAAACCGCTTCATTGATGTTGACACAACCAGTTCCACAGATGCAAATCCAGCTCAGCTTCACCAATACAAGCTGGGGGATATCAGAGCGGGCAGCACAGTGTGAAGGAGACCTGAATGTTAATGTGGATGCCAATTTTCCCACACTACGTGTAGAGAAGCAGAGGAGATCTCCTGGACAACATTTATCCCTCAGACAACATCAAAATGCACCATTTTCTTGTTTGCTGGGCCAAGCTAAAAGGCTGATAAGGCAAACAAAAATGCATATTTCAAAATGATCCACTCTGTGAAGCCCCTTGGAGTGTTCTGAAAAGCCAGGCGAGAAACCACAAAACTACAAGTGCTTTCGTCTAGAGAGCTCCGAATGACAGGCTTCGACAAATGTAAAAGAGTGAGCCGCTCAACAAACCTGAACAAAAGAACCTTCAAACTGGCTATCCTTAATATTTGCATCAAATATTAATTTATTGACAATGGGAAGTCTGGGAGGCCAAGCTGGCTTCACAGAAAAATAATAAATATTTGATGCGCTGATACAAAATATCAGTTCATTAAGTTATTATGGAGTTTTTTTTGGGTATCAAGGGCATACAGCAGACTGAGAGGTATCACTGCGGTGCAGACCAGGGGGACAAAAACAGAAGGAAAATTTAGAACATAGAACATAGAACATTACAGCGCAGTACAGGCCCTTCGGCCCTCGATGTTGCGCCGACCTGTGAAACCAATCTGAAGCCCATCTAACCTAAACTATTCCATTATCATCCATATGTTTATCCAATGACCATTTAAATGCCCTTAAAGTGGGCGAGTCTACTATTTTTGCAGGCAGGGCATCCCACGCCCTTACTACTCTGAGTAAAGAACCTACCTCTGACATCTGTCCTATATCTATCACCCCTCAACTTAAAGCTATGTCCCCTCGTGCTAGCCATCACCATCCGAGGAAAAAGGCTCCCACTGTCCACCCTATCTAATCCTCTGATGATCTTGTATGTCTCTATCAAGTCACCTCTTAACCTTCTTCTCTCTAACGAAAACAGCCTCAAAACCCTCAGCCTTTCCTCATAATTTGGTATGTCAGCCTCCTAATAAATAGTGAAAGCTATGAAGAGCCTGCACACAGTCGGCCAGTTAATTCCCATGTACCACTACCCAGTTCTGATCCTCTGAAGATCATCTTAATGAAACTCAGGGCTATTTAGTAAAAAGTTCAATCGCATGGATACACTGAGTGATTGCTTAGATAGGCAGTGCAGGTCAAAGCCACAATGGCATTTAAGAGGAACAAAGTCTCACACTCAACCCCGCCCCACACCCACCTTAATTCCATCCCAACCCACTTACTTGGCTTTTTTTCTGTCCTGTTTGGTATCTTTAATCTGAGACAATTACAAATCAAATCTGCAAAGAAGATCTTTATCAGAAAATTCCTGTGGGCTTTCATTTTCTTCTCCTCGACGTCGAGAGGAAAACAATTTCAAATCCCACGGTGGCCTCACGAGCCCACACGCAAAGATGGCCTGATGCTGATCCAATCTCTCAGCACTCTCTTTCGCCTTTGTGCTGACAAGGCGCAATTTCTTTTTATAAAAAAAAGTAATTGTTTCCATCAAAAAGGATGGTCGTTTGTTTGTTCAGGGACGGGGAGGCGGAGTTCATTACGGAGGCAAACAACTCTAGGTCATTAATGTAACATTCCCTTCGCTCCCCCCCACCGCCATCATTCCCAACATCCCCAAACCCCCACCACCTCCCTGTCTGCAGCTGACTCCTTCCAGATCAGGACAATGGCCTCCCATCGTCAACTGGTGTGAATAATCAGTCCCTTGTGTAAGAGTTCAGGTCCGGGTTGGTGGCCTACTTGAACACAGGGAGGATGAAAACCTCCTTGACCCCAAAGTCTTCAGAAACTGGTTCATGCATTTTCCAAACACGTGCCATGGGTGCACCCGTCCCCGGGGCTGTTCTGGCTTCCATTCTGATTTCCCTCCCCCTCCCTTTTTCTATCCCACAGAACGAGGAAAGCAACTGCACCGGGGGAGAGCCACTGCGTCAGAACGGCCCTCCCCTGCCCACGTCTCAAGTTGCTGGGCAACATTGCATGCTGCCGTTTGCGGAAGAACATGCCCTTTCAATAATATCTAAAGCCAGTTTCCAAGGTCACTCAGAAGTGCACAAAATGGCCGCCACACTTTTGGCACAACAACAGTGGCTACACTTCAATTATTGGCTGTAAAGTTCTTTGGGATGAACTGAGATTGCGAAAGGTGCTACACCAATGTGAATTTTGCTTTCTTGCCTGCTCCCCACCCGAGATTAGCCAACAGCGTATACTGGCCACGTACTTAACAACTGAGCAGTCCCCTCCCAATGTTTATATGCATTAACAAGGAGCAACATTTTAGGAGTCCTTGTTGAAACCCTAGTGACATTAGCTAGGGGATTCAAAATGGACACAAACAGTTCGAAAACAAGCTCAGCAAACAAGATCCTCCCAATACTCTCTCACACTGCAACGCATAGAAAGTCAGCAGCTACAAAAACCTTTGTCTCATAGTCATGAAAACCTGATTTTGTCTCAACGTGTATGGTATGAACAGTATAGCTGGTATTCCACAATTCATATGACTGTAAAGTGGATGCGATCTATTTAATTAAGGCACGATGCACTACGAATGAGTATCTTGCACTAGCATTTTCAATAGTCAGACTTCAACACTACAAGTCCATTGCAACGCAATGTGATGTTCAGGGCAAAGAGGTGGCACACACAATGGTCCCCCCATTCTAGGTCCTCATCATGTCTACGACCAGAAGTGAACCACATCTAAACCCCAATACTATTCTCATTCAACATTTCCCCGACTACATCCTTCAGGGTGGTGGGAGTGGATCAATGGAAAGCAATCCGGATTCAGTACCTTCACTTCCCATCACAAACTCTGTAACTCTCTCGTCAGACATTCCATCCCCAACTCCGGGAGGGCAGTAGAACAATTGCAAAGCCCAGCCCACAGAGCTCAGTTGATTTCACTCCGCACAAGGAAAGAGGTCCTGGTCTCTACCTTTGAACCACAGTCTGTGTCACATGTTGTCCTATCAAATCGGTTTGAGGAATTAACAGCGACGCAGCCACTGAAACTCTAATGAGCCTGGAACAGTAAGTTTTTAACAGTAGATTGGGGAGAGATGTGACAGTGACACAGCAACATTTCAGGACTTCAGCTCCCTCTTTCTGACCTTCACTTACAGCTCGTGAAAGCTTGGGCACAGAAACACAGCTCCATGAAGCATCATTAAAAAATTAAAATCACTGTCTTTGTTGTGTTGGACCCAGATAAAAGGAGATGGGCAGTCCCTATCAAACAACATCATTCAGCCAATTGTGCTTCAAACCAATCCATGGCAACAGAGTCAGCAAACAAGGTTATTGGTTGGCGTCTAGTGAGATGGAAGACAGAGGGAAGTTGGTACTAACATAATTCAGGAGAAGGCCAGCCCTTGGAAAGACCCTGGTTGCTAAAGTCCACAAAAGACTGGTCTAACAGTGGGAGATAAGCAGGAAGGAGAGAGGAGAGGGGAGTAGGGTTGGGGGAAGAGAAAAAGAGATGACAGTTAGTTATTTCCATAGACAAGAGACACCAGTCTTGTCATTCATTCATCGTCAAACAGATAAAGCCACAGAGACTGGACAACACACTGACAAAGATGCTGACTTTGGCTTAACTGCACTGTGTTAGTTTTATGATTGGGATTTACTTTCCTTTCTCATTCAGGGTGGCCCCTCAAAAAGACCCTGCTTGAAAAATGAATGTGGCGATGTTGACGTGGAAACTGTTTGAGTTGATCCCAAAGGACAGCACCTTTTTCCATATTGCTCAAGGTCACTGAAATTTTGTTGCTTTTATCAATCCTTGAGAGAGTGGACGATGACTTAGATTTAGCAATTACGAAGCGTTAATGTCGCTCTTCCTGTGCCAAACACACAAGAATTTTGTACAGCTGTCAGTAAGAAAGTCAACAGGTAGGTCTCTCAGGGTTAGCGTTACATTCGCTGCAGACCTGATCCTGCTTGATCTTAATCACCTGGTCTGCGTGCTGGCAACAAACTGGTCACACTGCAAAATCCACTTTCCTTTATAACAAGCTGGACAAAATGGAGTGTTGGTGGCAGAGCAGGTTTACAAGGGGGATAGTGGGCCAACAATTACTAAGAGAAAGGTTGGCTTATGGAGACTGTGCATCAAAAAACATGTTATATGACTGGGTTGTGTTACGAATACTGCACAGCTGAGGAGAAACCTCCAACATCAGACCCAGTGGGCCGCACCACAAGGGCCACTCGTACGCGCATCCCGACTTGTGCGAGAGATTGACGCGTCCAGAAGTTTTTTTTTTGTTTGTTGTCTATTCTTACTACTGTCGGGTAGACACTCAGTATGACCGCACTGACCGAAACCAGCCTATGGCCTACTGTGTATGTGAGCTCACCTTGGAGACTGTTAGCGTTGGCGCTGGTGCAGGTCGGAGGAGGGGAGGTCTGTGGCCTCACCACCGGAGCGAAGGCGCTTTTTTGTTTCACTGCAGAGACCATATTGGCTGGCGAGAAAGAGAATATGCCAGAGGTACTGCTACAATTTGAAGGAAGGCTGGTGGAGGAGGCCATGGTAGGACTGGTCGGCACTACTGCAACAAGAAAGGAGGAAATATGTCAACCATTTGGGTGCCATATATATATTTTGTTCATATACATATATATTCATATATATATATGAATTTGTACAATTCATCGACTGTTTTCAGGATATGTAGTCAATGATGGAGCAAAACAATTTGAGTCATTTTTAAGACGTCAAGAGAAAAAAAAAAGTAATTGTGTGACCGCAGCTGGGTAGAACAAATTGTCGTGTCTCCACTGGGTCACTTACCTGGCGACAATGGTGGCTTAACCCTTTCAAACCCCGAGTTTGCTGGTTAACATTTTTTTTTGAAAGGTTCATTTGCAAGCCACAGATGTGGTACGGTTGACGGGTTGAGGATGTTAAAGGAAGCAACGAAAGAAAGGTGGGGGAGGCGACTGGTAGGGAGCTGGGGGGGGGGGGGGGCTGATCCTTTTAAGTTAGTTATTATTTCTGTCAAGAAACATAACAGCAAAGAAAAAATATTCGGGGTGGGTGGAGAGATGGGAGTGGACGGGCAGATCCAGTCAATGTAGAAGTGCCAGGAACAGTCAAAAGCCATTCACCTCACACCATGGTGTAGTTACCTCAATAGGCACAGCGCCTTCGCTTGCTTTCTTTAATTAAAAAAAACGTATAACTGCAGCATTTTCTACTTGCGACGATCGAGGGATTGCTTTGGCATGTCAATAGTTTGCCTGCAGTGTGCATTCAGTTTAGTCATTCCCCCACCATCCTGCTCTCATGTCTCATGGTCCCTCCGTGGCCTGCATGATTGTCAATGTTTTCAATCAGACAGCACACTCACGGGTACAAGAGAAAAGAAGTCATCAATTGATGAAAATTACAGCTAGGCAAACCGCAGCCAGAGATAGAAAAATGTCTTCAGCTAAGGTCATCTCAGCTCTTTGTAATGCGAGCAAAGTGCTGCTTGTTTAATCATTACTTACACAATTAGGTTATTGATTGAATTAAGAATGACGACTTTTAATTAGAGAGCCTGAGTGAGATGGGACAGGTCAGGTATGAGCATTACTAAACTATCGCCAGCCTCCCCTGTGTTTTAAAGAGACAGTGTCCCCTTTTTTGCCAACCTGTAAGGAGGAGTGTTCTGAATTCCCTGCAGCTGACCCCAACCCCTTCAGTTGTAAAGTTCAATCAAGCCCAAGAGGAAATATAGAAATGGAACAGATCAGCTGTTGTTTCTATGCTTGGACATTGTAGGAAGCTAAAGCTTCGAGATACGCTGAACAGACTCCATTGAAGGATTAAAAACCATCAGGTCATTAATATCATTCAGCTAACGTGCAGCTAGGCTTTGCATTTTTACTTGTCACTAATCAATAAGGTGTTCAAAATTGAGTGCAACTTTGATTTAGAAATTCCAAGGAATATCAATGAGACCCCCTTGTCAGTGTCTTTATGAGGGAATCTAAATTGCTTGCTTAGATTTTGCGATAGTTTTATTATAGCGATAATTCACTTATTTTAAATAGTTGCTAAATCTAGGATGCTGCGGGCGAGGACTTGAACATTTAACAGACTTCTAGCCACAGTGCAGTACATCAGAAGACAATACATAAAAGACATTCAACACTGACAGTAACAATGGAATGAAAATGGTTCCTGTGCATTAGTTTATCAATGAGCCCTTCTCTGTAAGCTGAGAAATCCCTGAGAGTTGCTGCACAATTTGATAGTACAAGGAAGTATCGCGAATGTAACAAGCAGAAGGAACAGATTTAGGAATCATCTGAAAACTTGCAGGAAACTTATCCCATTTTAAAGGAAGGCCCTGAATATTTGCTAACATTAATAGCAATGAACCAATAATTTGAGATTACATGGGTTGTTGGATGACAAGAAGGTCAGAACTATAATGCTCTGTAGTCATCCTGAGTGTATGAACCGAGAAGTCTTTTCCTGACTATTATTTTCAGGTTTCTGTCTAAAATGGTGCTGTCACCTATTGATATTCTTCATTGTGGCTCATTTTTGCTTCTTCTCCAGAAGGTAGGATCGGTCTCCAGTACTCCACCTAACATCTGCATCTAGTATACACACACTCACTTACACACACAATCAAATCGTCAGAATTCAACAATTATAAAGTCATACAGCACAGAAACAGACCCCTCGGCCCAACTCGTCCACTTTGACCAGACATTCTAATCTGACCTAGTCCCATTATTTGGCCCATTTCCCTCTAAACCCTTCCTATTCATATACCCATCCAGATGCCTTTCAAATGTTGTCAGTGTACCCGCCTTCACCACTTCCTCTAGCAGCTTGTTCTATACGCGCACCACCAATTGCGTGAAAAAGTTACCCATCAGGTCCTTTTTAAACCTTTCCCCTCTCACCTTCGGAAAAAGACCTTATCCATGCCCCACACGATTTTATAAACCTCTATAACGTCATCCCTCAGCCTCCAATACTCCAGGGAAAAACGTCCCAGCCTATTCAGCCTCTCCCTATAAGTTAAACCCTCCAGTCCCAGCAACATCCTTGTAAATCTTTTCTGCACCCTCTCAAGTTTAACAACATTATTCCTATAGAAGGGCAACCAGAATTGTACGCAGCATTCTAAAAGTGGCCTCACCAATATGCTGTTCAGCCACATGATATCCCAACTCCAATACTCAAATACACTGGCCAATGAAGGCAAGTGTATCAAACACTTTCTTCACAACCCTGTCTAGCTGCGACTCCACTTACAAGGAACTATGCACCTGCACCCCTAGGTGTTTTTGCTCAGCAACACTCCCCAGGGCCCTACCATTAACTGGATAAGTCCTGCCTTGGTTTGCCTTACCAAAATGCAACACCTCACATTTATCTAAATTAAACTCCATCTACCACTCCCTGGTCCATAAGTCCATCTGAAGAAGGTCCCATTGTACCCTGAGGTAATCTTCTTCACTGTCCGCTATACCACCTATTTTGGTGATATCTGCAAACTTACTAACCATACTTCCTATATTCACATCCAAATAACTTATATGAACGACAATAAGCAGGGGGGCCTGATCCTTGTGGCACACCACCGGTCACAGGGCTCCAGTCTGAAAAGCAACTCTCTACCACCACTCTCTGTCTGCTACCTTCAAGCCAATTTTGTATCCAATTAGCTAGCTGTCCCTGGATCCCATGTGATCTAACCTTACTAACCAGTCAACCATGTGGAACCTTGTCAAACGCTTTGCTGAAATCCATATAGATAATGTCTAATGCTCCACCTTCATCAATCTTCTTTTTCACCTCTTCAAAAGACTCAACCACTTTGGTTGAAATGAACAGATTCAGCACAGAATGGGAATATTGAAAACCATGCTTGGTTTCTGTCTTCCTGCCGTTACAGAATCCAGTTTTGATCCTTAGTTATTAGTTCCTGAGTTTAGATTATCTGAAGCCTACTACATTTTAAATTAATCTTGCCAAGACTCAGCAAAATAGTTCTATTGTACTCACACATCATTAGAAAGGAGTAATTCAATACTGAGCCTTTGCAGATCTCACTACAAAGAGTGCAATTATTGACCTATGGATTAACAAAAGGGCTGACTATCAGATGTGTGCTTTTGGAGAGAAGTCCTGCCTCTTCGCTGGCCAGAATTAGAAATACCTCTTTCATTCACTCATGATTCATTCAGTCATAACTACATGCTTTAGGTCAACTACATTTCAATTCCTCACCCCTAATAATGCTGAACAACCTTATAATCCATCTGTCAAGGTCATGAATGAATGGGTGAGAGGAGAAGGTATATAGTGGTAATTCTCACTAAACCCATAGTCCAAACACCTAGGCTAATTCCTTGGCGACTCAGGTTCAAATCCCAACATGCATTTGGTGGACATTAATAAAACCTGGAATTGAAAGTTTGATTCCAAATGGTGACCATTAACCAACCACTGATTGGTTCTAAAAACCCATTGGGTTCTCTTCTGGGAAAGAAAATCTGCCAACCTTGCCCCATGTGGACTGTATGTGACTCCAGACCCACAATGAATCCTGAAGATGAGGAAGGGTCACTGATCCCAAAATGTTAACTCTCATTTTCTCTTCACAGATGCTGCCAGACCTGCTGAGCTTTTCCAGCGCTTCTGCTTTTGCTCATGAGTCATACTGTACTTGAAGAGTTAACTCTGTTTGTCTCTCCATAGATGCTGCCAAACCTGCTGAGTTTCTCTAGCACTTTGTTTTTGTTCCAGATTTCCACCATCCACAGTAATTTGCTTTTATCTCACAGCAATGTTGTTGGCGCTTAACTGTCTTCTGAGATGGCATAGCCAAGCCACTCTGTTGGAGTGCAATTAAGGATCAGCGTCAAGTTGTGGCCTAGCCAACATCCCATGCAAGAATATTTTTTTACATCTAAAGTCTCTTAAAGTGAGGAGCCTTTTCTTGTTCACAAAGTTGTTCCAATGTTTAAGAGTCAAGAGTTTATTGTAAGAAATGACGGTTAACCTTACAGAAATTCTGGTATTGGGCCTATAGTCTAAATCGTCTGCTAGCCCCTATTGTTCAACCAATCCAAAATGTAAACTCTGTACTCTCTCCAAGGATGTTGCCTGAGCTGCTGAGTATTTCCAACATTTCCTCATTTTATTTCAAAATTCCAGCATCCACGGAGCGTTTTGATTTTCCATCCCTGGCATCGTTTTTTTTTAAATTGGATCAACAATTGCTTTGTTGACATTGAGCTGGGTCAGGGTTACACAGGTCAAGACCTGGTGCACAAGATCTGGAGAAACAATCTAAGTCTCTGCACAACTCATTGGACAGAAAACTGCCTTTTGCAAACTGACTCACACAGACGTTCTATTAGACTTGATAGAAAAATCAAAGCTCGATTTGAATCCTCACTGAGTAAAACTGCACCTGATGTTGCAAATACATGCCTTTATCTTCCCACTTTCCTGATAGCCCCGTGGATTTGTTCAGAATTTCCTCAGGGTTTCTTCTGATTCTCAAAGGAAACTCCCAGGGGTTGTTCTGAGTAGATGATTGCATGAAAATGCTGATCTGGTCCTGAAATAAATGTGAGTTAACTGTCTCCTGTCTAGAGTTAAGAGGAATGTACTTCATCTATGCACTACTTGTCTTTTGAATCTGTACTGATGTTTAGAACACAATGTCCTCAATGGGACTTTCTGTTGGATGACCTTTTAGCTGAGAGCTTGGCTCTTGCCAAAGATTGATAAGAAAGGTTTTACCTAACGATACAAATGGTTCTGCTATCTATCACCGTTCTAAATTAAGGCATGACATGGCTCCCAATTAAGTAAAATGATCCCCTTGCTTAAAATAGAAGAGAAACCTTTCTTTAACAGTTGAGCAAAACTAGCCAAGTACATCACTGAGTGAGAAGTACAGAAAAGATGTTCGGTATGCCACTTGTGCATAGGGGTTCGTAATACTAATGCTGCTAAAATTGAATGATTCTCCAGCAGGAGAAGATCATGGACAAAAGGTGCGGCCAATTGTAATAAGGTTAGGGTCTGACATGTGCCTGTTTTGTTTTTACTTACTGGCATATGGCGAATTGGCAGCAGACCCATTGAGAAAACCTGGAGAGCCTCCCAGGTTGGACATCCCAGCATTCCCATATCCATTCATACTCGTTGTCACAGAGTTATAGTTTGTCTGCTGTGGAGTGGAGCTCGGCACATATCCATGAGGAGACACACTGCTTGTGTTGCGAGTAAAGCCTTTATTGAAGAAGGGATACAAAAGCACACATCGTCAGCATCTCTCTCTCAGTTATTAATGACCTAAACATCATTCTTGTTCTTTGTTATTTTAAAAGGCTGGTAGCTAAAACACAAGAGCATTGATAAAATTGACTGGGCACTGCTTAAAGTCAGAACATTGTTAATGTTCACAGAATTGCCACGGTGCAGAAAGAGGCCATTTGGCCTGACATGCCTGCAATAACTCACTGAGCATTTTGACTTACTGCCAATTGCCCATTTTTTACCTGTTCACATTGTTTTATACTATTAATCATTAAATGCCCTCTTGAACACCCCATTTGAAGCTGCCTTAGCCACACTCCCAGGCAGTGCATTCCAGTCACTAACAACTCACTGTGTCAACATGTTTTTTTCTCGCCTTGCACTTGCTTCTTTTGCAAAACACTGTTAATGTACTCCCACTGGTTCTTGATCCCTTTCTTGTAAAATGAAGAAATTAACAGTTTCTCCCTATCTACTTCATCCAGGCCCATCATGATTTTGAAAACTTCTATCAAATCTCCTCTTCACCTTCTCTCCAAGGAAGTCAGTTCCAACTTCTGTTAACTATCCTCATCCTTGCAACCATTTTTGTAAACCTCTTCTGCACTCTCTCCAATGGGTTCACATACTTCCTATACTGTGGTGCCAGAACTGCGCATATTACTGCTGCTGAGGTCTAACTAGTGTCTAATATAAGTTCATCCTAACCCATTTGTTCTTGTACTCTTATGCCCCTATTAATAAAGTCTAGAAAACAGTATGCTTTATTAACAGCTGTTTCTACCTGCTCTGCCACTATTAATGATTTAAGCACATTTACATCCGGGTCTGTCTCCATCTGGTACTCATTATTGTATACTGTCTTTCTACGTTTTATGTACAAGGCACTAGTGAGACCTCATCTGGAGTATTGAGCACGGTATTTATCACATTATTTAAAGAAGGATGTAAATACATTGGAGGCAGTTCAGAGAAGGCTTGCTAGTCTAATAGCTAGAATGGGTAAATTGTTTCATGAGGAAAGGCTGGATTTTTATACATAAGACTATAGGACCAGTAAGAGGTGGCTTGATTTTAATATCTCAGAGGGCTCTTGATGGGCAAAAATTTCCTCTTTAAGGAGACTCTAAAACAATGGGTCACCATTTAAAAGTAAAGGGTTGTCTACCTAAAAGACAGTTGAGGCAAACTTCTATATCCCTCAAAGGGATGAGGAACACTTTTTTTTATTAAGACAGAGGTAGATGGATGGATTCTTATTGAGAAAGAGTTGGAACGATTACCAGTGGTGGGCAGGAATATGGGTTTGACGCTAAATGGCAGCCTCAAGGGGCCGAATGGCCTGTTCCTAATTCATGTGATCATGTGTAAGTCATTAGCTCAGTCACATCACAAAAAAATGCCAAGACTGGAAAAGTTAGAAGGGAGACCAATCGAAGTAAAACGCAGTGCAGTCACACAGTGTTATTATAGGGAAATAACAATACTGATACTACGCAGGCAGAGTAATTGCTCACTGCCTAGCTACAGCAGACTCATGAACTAGCATCTAATATACCACGTTAGGTACTGATCAATCCTTCTCTTTGGAATTTAGTGAATCCTGACTTTTCTCCAGTCTTATATATAAACATTTGAAATGTTCTAAAATCTATTTTAGAGTTTGCCACCTGGGTTGATGTTGCTATTCTATAACCGCAAAACGTCCAGCTGTAACCCCTTTTCTTTTCTTGGCATTTGTCTACAGTGGTTTGTCTATTAAAAGGAACAGTTTCCAGGACTGAAAATTATGAATTGGGGTATGCAATCTGCAGCAAAGCAGAAAATCTCCCTTATGAAATGAGAGGAAGAAAGTTTTTCTTAAGCTAAAAACACCCCAAGGGATGGAGGAATGCAATTAGCTTAAGCTGTATCCCTTTAGCTCGGAGGGTGGTCTCAAATCTCACCTAGACAGATCTGATGGGAGTCTCTCCTCTCTCGATCCTGCTTTTAGTGGACTTCGTTGAAACAAGTTTGAAAATTTCTCAACCAAGTCCTTTCTCCACTTTTTGTGGAGCCTACCTCACAAAAGCAATTTGATATTGATTAGCTATCACATCCAAACAGGGGTGTAAGGTAGAAAAATGGGCATTTGCCCTGGCACAGTTGGACTGTGCCTACTGAGGTTACAACTGAGGCACATCAATGGATACAACAGAGGAGGCTTGACTGCGCTCAGGGTTCTGAGGAAGGGTCACTGGACTCGAAACGTTAACTCTGATTTCTCTCCACAGATGCTGCCAGACCTGCTGAGCTTTTCCAGCAATTCCTGTTTTTGGCTCTGCTTTGCAACTCTGGCTCAGATATCATTCATTTTCACAAGCAAAGTAATTCACAAAAGGAAACTCCTCATTCATGTCAAATTTCACACTTTTTTTTAAAAAAGAGAACACAAAATGGCATAATTAAAAACATTATTCAAGTTTGGGAAAATGGAGTTCCAGTTTCAAGGATGGAAGTCTTTGGCAAGGCTGTCCTTGCTGAAGGGAGTAAGGAGTTTAGCTTATATAGAAAAAGGTTGAGCCAACCCTCACTGGAGTCTAGAGGATGAGATGCAATCTCATTGAAACATAGAAAATAATTGAATAGACATGACAGGGTAAATACTGATATTTTCTCCTCATGGGGCAATTAGAAATGGGAGCACGGCTTAAAGTTAGTGGGCATACAATATAAGGCCAAGAAGAGGAAAAATTTCCTCTCTCAGAGGGTCATTAGCTTTTGAAATTCTCTTCCACACAAAACAGCGGAGGCTGGGTCATTGAAGAGGCTGCGTGAGGCAGACTTTTGACTACAAGGGGGTCAAGGGTTATGGGGACGGCAGGCAGGAAAGTGGAGCAAAGGCCAGATCAGATCAGCCAGGATATTACTGAATGGGAAAGTAGGTCTGATGGGCCAAAGGGCCTTTTCTTGTCACTATTTCTTACAATCTAATGACTATCGACAAATTGTTGCACCATGATTCAACATCATGGAGGAGAGAAACAATGTTAATCAAGGAGATGGGAGAATATCCTTCGGATACGTCAACTGATTCAACCTTGATTGGTTGATCCCTATGAGCTGGGATACTTGCATAATTGCAGCATCCTGGAAGCCAACGTGGTCCAAAGATCATATCCATGGGCACCTTTGTAGCTCTGGTTGTTAGTTAATAAAGGCACAAATTTCCAATTCCCTCAAAGTCTGCTACACTGGGGATTGCATGTGGGTCGCTGTGCAGACCTCCTGTCGATCCTTCAGAAAAAAACTATGGGCCAATGGAACATCCAAGCCTATCTTTACAGGCAGTTTCTCTGCTGACTACAAACTTGTTGATTTTCTTTGGTGGAGACAGCGATGTGGGGCTGCCTTTCAGTTTTTCACTTTAGCGTCGAAAACTAGTGAGGTAGAGAAAGGCTTTGTGGGGGTATATAAAGAAAATCACTAAAGGTCAGTGTTTGTATTGAGCATCAGTAAAGCCCAGGAAGGGAAGCGAGAGACTAAACGCAGTTAAACTAAATGACAACCCACAATTATTTACACGATTCACAAGCACCACGATTACACTCCAAAAGTCATGTAAATTTTCATCAAATCCTGTCAATCTATTTTAGTAGAAAGATCTATTTATAGTATTTGTCAACAGAGAGTGTTTACAAAATGTTCACTGCTAAAATTAAATCTTAAAGTAGTACAACACTCTACTGTAATCAAGTGTCCACCTTTTAAAGTCTGTGCTATGTTAAAGTTTAATGTGTGCTCCAAGGAGTTTGTTGTTATCACCGCAGGTAGCATTTCTATGCTACGGTACAGACATTAAAGTGACCATATGTAGGGTATTCGTTGTACAATTTGCACGATTACTGCTTACAATGGTGTCGGTGTGCTTTAAGTGGTACATTACAAGCATTTGTAAAAAGTTGTAAGTTATACAGTATATCTGTATAAAAGTTATCCATTCTGCTAGTAACATGCTAGTTATTAACAAGACAAAACAACCAACATTAACTCTCAGGGAATGCAATGTCCAGATCTGATGTTGAGAAAGGAAATTGTTTTCTCTTGCATATTCAAGAGAAAATCACATGAGAAACACAGAACAAAGAAGAATGATGGCACTGAATGAAACCACTTGGCCCATGTTTTCCCTGCAAGCCAAAAGAAAGGATTACCTTCCAGTTCTTCACTCCAAAGCTTTGTAGGTGACTGCACCTCAGGGGAGCTAATGTCTCATATTTCTTTTTAAAATGCAATAATGGTTTCTGTCTCTACAACTCTTTCAAGCTGTGAGTTCCAGAACCTAACCTGGATGACACAATTTCTCATCAACTCCCCTCGCATCTTTCTCCCAATTACTTTAAACATATGCCCCTGGGTATTGACCTTTCCGTTAATGGAAATAGGCTCTTCCTATCCAGTCTAGCCTGGTTCCTTAACAATTTACTTTTAGGACATGCACTTAATGTCCCTCCGTCCTTTTCTCAGAATCCTACCATTTATTGTGTACTCCCAGGCAATATCTGTCCTTCCCAAATCCATTAGCTCTCTCTTCTCAATCGCTCTCCATTTGCTATCTTTCTGCCCACCTGAATTTACCATTGATGTCTTCCATATACACTACAGCGTTCTCCCTCATGGTCAACCACATGGTCAGTTTTCATCTCATTTGCAAACATCTTCATACACGAGTCTATGTCATTGGTATAGACAATGAACAGCAAGGGGCCCTGCATTGAGTCTTGCTGTGTTTATTCATTTACACTTCTACTTTACCACCCCACAGAAATAAAAATCCAAACATATATTCACAAAAGTTAATTAGAAAACTGTTTTTAAAGTTCTCTAAGAATGGGTGACCTGCAAAATATCAGTGGCAGGTTGTGAAATTATTTCCTTCAGAATTACTCAATAGGAGGAGTGCGCAAGGTGGAGCTGTTTGGAAGGGAGCAAGGCAATTTCAATCAATGTGACAAAGCCTTACCTTGATTGGCAGCCTGAGAGGACTCAGACACATTGACTGCCAGCTGCCCACTGAAGGAGTTGACCCCCATCATCCCTGCGTGGACGGATGTGTTACTGAGAGCTGGGAGCTGGTTGTGGTTCCGAGGGACACTGTACAGGGCCTCTGCAATGTCAGCTGCTCGCTTCAGGATGATTTCCTACCAGGCATTTTGAAGAAAAAGAAAAGTTGTTGACTGTAACCACAAGAGAAATAAGCTGACTGCCAGCAAGGTAAAAAACATTTAAAACAAAGATACATTGGTGTGTAAAAGCATTAATCAGTCACACGGCTAACCTCCTAACTTAATTCTTCCCCTCTCCAGGTTTTGGTTCTGTACCATTCATTGGCTGTCGGTGTCTCTGAAGTCCATCAGTTCAAGGTGCAATGGCTGTCAGTCTCCAAAGTCTTGATTTCCACTCCCCGTCAGTTTGCTAGGACTCAGATCCCTCACAATCCTGGCCTTCACTCCCACATCCCTCAGAATCCTGGCCCTCACTCCCACATTCTTCAGAATCCTGGCCCTCACTCCCACATTCTTCAGAATCCTGACCCTCAGTGCCACATCCCTCAAAATCCTGGTCCTCACTCCCACATTCCTCAAAATCCTGGTCCTCACTCCCACATTCTTCAGAATCCTGGTCCTCACTCCCACATTCTTCAGAATCCTGGCCCTCAGTGCCACATCCCTCAAAATCCTGGTCCTCACTCCCATATCCCTCAGAATCCTGTAGCTCATTCCCACATCCCTCAGAATCCTGTACCTCACTCCCACATCCCTCAGAATCCTGTACCTCACTCCCACATCCCTCAAAGACTTGGTCCTCAATGTCCTCTCCCTCAGTCACCCAGTGCTATGTATGCAGATTCCTCTTTCCCTCATTGACCCAGCCCTTGCTGCCAATGTGTTATCCTTAAACAATTAGACACAGAGCTCACTATTACCTGGTTGTTATGTGGCATTCCATAAAGCGCCTCCACCAAGTCAGCCGCCCTCTTTAATATAACCTCCTGTGGAAGAAAAGGACAAAGATTTCCTTCTTCGATGGCCAATCAATTGTTTTGATTCAGGACTATTCAGACTCATTGGATTAGTTTTCATCTAAGTCACACAGTCAAAGTGGAATGGCTCTAAATCCAAGTCTAGAGCCCATTTGGTTTCTCATCAAATTTTATTCTCTATTAAGCATCACACACATAGAATCCCACCAACCCCCACATTTCTGCCAGACAGTTCATAGCTCATACCTGCCCCCAAATCACACTGACAAGCAAATTCTGGGAATAGTGAGTAGGCTCTGGATTCCAAGGTCGTTTCCCCTGTATCGAGCAGGAGGATGTCAAAACCAGTCCTAATGCTGCTCTAACCACCAGCTCAGCTGAGGGCAGCTACATCAGCACAGGCCCAGGGCTAGCAATGTTCAGGTCTAATTGACTCGACACCAAACAGATTGACGAGAAGCCATGAAGCCAAACAAAGAGCTACCCTTTTAGTCTGTGTGGACGTGTGCATACCACAAACAAAGTAATCCAGCCTTAGTATTGCAGAGTACGGGTAACTGGCTGGCGATCCTTTTTTATCAATGGAATGACTCACTGTGGTTTGAATGACTGTGCTGCTTAGAATGAAAAGGCCAGTGGGGACTGTATGAGATACATATGTGATTATTAATCATTGTGCCTACATTTCAGTAGATGTTGAACAATTATTGATATATTCACAAAATGCATATAGAACTTAATTTTTCTATTTAAAATCCAATATGTCTTCTCTTTATCATTTACCTTTCTATATCTTTTATGATCACTTTCAGACAATTTTCTTGCCCCTTCTCTGGTTAAATGTGAAGGCATTAAAAGAGTTTACATTCCTACATATACAATTGTATCTTTTCATCTCTGGTGTGTTATTTTTGAAATGCAGCCATGGTTATCCTGTGCTCAAACACAGCATGGCGTGCACAGTAAGATCCCATAAATGATGACTGGCTTCGATACTGATGAGGGAGCTAGAACGATCAGTGACACAGGGGACCTCCCAGCTCTTCAAGTGGTGCCATGGATCTTTCAAGTGGGGGGGTGGTCTCCATTTCACATTTCGTACAACATTCATTCAGCATCTATAGCAATGCAGTACTCCCACAGCACTTCACAGAGAAGTCAGCTCAGACTTAGCGCACACTGACAGAATAAAGCTTGAACCCACAGCCTCCCAGGAAGACAGAGTGCCACAATCTCCAATCAGTTCACTTCTGCTTGAACAGTTCAACAATCTCTATCATCCACATCCATTCTTCCCAGTTCCAATCATATCCAATTGCATCCCACAAG